GGGTGGTGCGATGGGAGAGGGAGACCAGCAGACTCCCCATTGAGTGGGGAGGCCAACACGATCCTAGCCTGAGATCATGACCTGAGCCGAAATCAAGAGTTGGACACTTAACCAACTAAGCCACTCAGGTGCCCCTGCAACTTTAGTTAGATTTACTCCTGTACTTGGTGTTTGTGGTTTGAAAACAGTATATAAATAGCTTTATTTTTTGTTTATTGTTAGTCTATAGAAATACATACAGTTGATCCTAATTTGTAGATTCTGAATTTGTGAATTCAGGTAATCGCCAAAATTTATTTTAACCCCCAAATCTCCCAGCGCTTTCTCAGTGCTCTCGGGGTCATTCTTGGACATGTGTAGAGCCTTGTAAAATTTGAGTTGCTCAACAGGCACATTCTCAGCTGAGACGAAACAAGGAATGCTCTGCCCTTCCCTTTTTTTTAAGTTTTTATTGAGGTATAATTGAGGTACAACATTATGTTAGTTTCAGGTGTACAGCATAATGATTCTGTATTTGTATATATCACAAACTGCTTACCACTTAAGTCTAGTTAACATCTTTCACCATACATAGTTACAGAATTTTTTTCTTGTGATGTGAACTTTTAAGATTTACTTTCCTAGCAACTTTCAAATATGCAATACGATTATTAACTATATCACCATACTGTACATTTTATCCACATGACTCACTTATTTTATAACTGGCAGTTTGTAGCTTTTGACTCCCTCACCCATTTTGACCCCCCACCTCCACCCCTGCCTCTGGCAACCACCAATCTGTTCTCTGTGTCTATAAGCTTGTTATTTTGTTCTGTTTTAAAATTCCACATATAAGGGAGATCATATGGTGTCTTTCTCTGTCTGACTTGTTTCATTTAATGGCCCTCAAGGCCATTCATGTTGTTGCAAATGGCAGGATTTCATGCTTTTTTATGGCTGAAGAATATGCTATTGTGTATATATATATATGTGTATATATATATATATTTCTATACATATCATATTTTCTTTATCCATTCACATGTCAGTGGACACTTAGGTTGTTTCTTTGTCTTGGCTATTGTAAATAATGCAGTGGACATGGGGGTGTGTATATCTTTTAGAGTTAGTATTTTTTTTCCTTCTTCAGATAAATCCCCAGAAGTGGAATTGTGAATTATATGGTAGGTCTCTTTTTAATTTTTTGAGGAAACTCATTATTTTCCACGGTGCCTGCACCAGTTTGCATTCCCATGAACAGTGTAAGGGCCTTTTTCTCCACATCCTTGCCAATGGTTCTTATTTCTTGTGTTTTTGATGTAGCCATTCTCACCCGTGTGAGGTGGTATCTCCTTGTGGTTTTGATGTGCATTTCTCTGATGATTAGGGATACTGGCATCTTTTCATGTACCTGTTCACCATTTGTATGTCTTCTTTGGAAACATGTCTATTCAGATTCTCTGCCCTTTTTTTTTTTAAAGATTTATTTATTTATTTATTTGAGAGAGAGTAAGAGAGAGAGAGCACGAGAGGGGGGAGGGTCAGAGGGAGGCAGTAGACTCCCTGCTCAGTAGGGAGCCTGATATGGGACTCGATCCTGGGACTCCAGGATCATGTCCTGAGCCGAAGGCTGTTGCTTAACCAACTGAGCCACCCAGGCGCCCTCTGCCCATTTTTAAATTGGATTGTTTGGGTTTTTTGTTATTAAGTTGTAGGAGTTCTTTATATAGTTTGGATATTGACCCCTTATTAGACATATGATTTGCAAATATTTTCTTTCATTCAGTAGATGGCTTTTTCATTTTGTTGATTGTTTCCTTTGCTGTGCAGAAGCTTTTTAGTTTTAGTTCCATGTGTTGATTTTTGCTTTTGTTGTCTTTGCCTTTGGTGTCAAGTCCAAAAAAATCAGCACTGAGACCAATGTCAAGGAGCTTACTATCTATGTTTTCTTCTAAGAGTTTTATGGTTCCAGGTCTTACATTCAAGTCTTTAATTCCTTTTGAGTTAATTTTTGTGTATGGTGTAAATTTTATTCTTTTGCATATAGTTGTCCAGTTTTCTCAATATCATTTATTGAAGAGACTGTCCTTTCCCCGCTGTGTATATTCTTGGTTCCTTTGTCATAAATTAGTTGACTATATAAGCGTGAGTTTATTTCTGGGCTCTCTAGTCTGTTTCATTGATCTGTGTGTCTTTTTATGCCAGTACCATACTGTTTTGATAACTATAGCTTTGTAGGATGCCTGGGTGGCTCAGTTGGTTAAGCGACTGCCTTCAGCTCAGGTCATGATCCCAGGATCCTGGGATCGAGCCCCGCATCAGGCTCCCTGCTCGGCCAGAAGCCTGCTTCTCCCTCTCCCTCTCCCTCTCCCCCTGCTTGTGTTCCCTCTCACGCTGTCTCTCTCTCTCTCTCTCTGTCAATTAAATAAATAAATAAATAAAATCTTTAAAGAAACAAAACAAAACTATAGCTTTGTAATATAATTTGAAATCAGGGAACGTGGTGTCTCCAGCTTTGTTCTTTCTCAAGATTGCTTTGGCTCTTCAGGGTCTTTCTTGGCTCTACACATATTTTAGGATTATTTGTTCTATTTCTGTGAAAAATGCCACTGGAATTTTCATAAGGATTACATTGAATCTGTGGATGCTTTGGGTAGTATGGATATTTTAACAATACTGATTCTTCCAATCCATGACACAGAATATTTGAGGTGGCTTTATAGAATATAATACTGGAAATAACAAGAATCAACTGTATATATATGTTTTATATTGTTTTTGTATCAAATAGTCTTGCTAGACTTGTACAAATTTTAGTAATTTACCTGTAGATTCTTTTGGGTTTTCTACATGCATAATCATGTCATATGCAAAATGACACTTTATTCCCCCTCTCCAGTCTTAATGACTTACAATTTCTCTTTTTTTGCTTTGCTCTGCCAGCCGGAACTTCCAGTACAACGTTGTATAGAAGTGGTCTTACGTGTCCTGTTCATAATCTCAAAGGGGAAAGCTATCAGTATTTCACCTTAAGTATGGTATCTGCGTAGGTTTTTCTTAGGTAGCCCTTATCAGATTAAGGTTTCTTTTCCTAGTTTAAGACTTTTTGTCATGAATGGATATTGAATATTTTTTAATCAACTGTCTTTTCTGCATCTATTGAAATGATTATATGATTGTCTTAATGGTTGATTTTTCTAATGTTAACCTTCCCTTTCTGGAATTAAGCTTCCATCATATTGTATTATCCTTTTTCTGTGTTGCTGACTTGAGTTAGCTGATACTTTGTTTAAATTTTTACATATGTATTCATTAGTGAGATTGATGTAAATTTTTCTTTCTTAAAATTTCCTTGTTAGGTCTTGTATTAAGGTTATGGCTAGTCTCCTAAAACCACCTGGTTTTATGTAGATTTGGGATAGGTAGTGTTCTTTTTTTAAAAAATGAAATCTCAGGGGGCGCGTGGGTGGCTTAGTTGGTTGAGTGTGTGACTCTTGATTTCGGCTCAGGTCATGATCTCAGGGTTGTGAGATCAAGCCCCATGCCAGGCTCCATGCTGAGTACTGTGTGTGGAGCCTGCTTGAGATTCTCTTTCTCCCTCTCCCTTTGCCCCTCGTCTGTTCTCTCTCTTTCTCGAATAGAATAAAAAAATAAAACAATTCTCAGAATAGTTTATGTGAGATTGGCATGAATTTTTCTTTACATTTTGGTAGAACTTGACAGCAAGACCATCTAGGCCTGAGGATTTTGTTGCGGGAAGGTTTTTACTACTGTTTGTTTTTGCTAATGGTTATTGGACTGTTCACATTTTATACTTCATGTGTAGTTTTGATAAGTTTTGGTTTCTTAGCTATTTATCCATTTTACCTATATCTTCAAATTTATTTTTATTGAGTTGTTTACAATATTTCTTAGGATCTGTAATGATGTGTTTCCCCCCTAATGCTGGTTTTTGGCTTTTTCTCTCTCTCTCTGATCAGTTTCATTGACTTTTTGTCAATTTTATCAGTGTTTTTAAAGAACTCACTTTCCTTTTTGCTCTTCTCTGTTATGTTTGTTTTCCATGCATGCAAAAAAGAATTAACATTGCAGGCCTGAGACTGCTATCCTTAGAAAGTCCTGCTTACAAGGTTGGCCTTTGACTGGTGTCTAGAAACTTAGATTTCGGGAGGGTTCTCACCGTTCCCTGACTGATAAGGGTAGTTAACTGTGCCTGAACTGTTTGTGCAATTTGTTTTATACTGAGCACCTGCTCTCCTTCTAGAAATCTAGAATTTTGGTATGTGATAGGCAGAGGGTGCCTGTAGGACCATCCCCCAGTAAGAAATTTGGCCACTGAGTCTCTAATAAGCTTCCCTGGTAGCCAACGTTTCACATGTGTTCACATAATTCGGTGCTGGGGGAATTAAGGGTATCCTACATGACTCCACCATTGGAAGCATGCACCTGATTTCCAGCAGCCTTTGCCCCATGCGCCTATTCTCTTTACTGATTTTGCTTTGTGCCCTCCTGCTGTAATAAATGATAGCCATGAGTGCAACTATATGCTAAGTCCTGTGAGCCCTTCGATCTAATCATCACTGAATCTAGGGGGTAGCCTTAGGGATGTTGGACACACCATTGTGAATGGCAGGTATTTCTATCAGAGACTGAACTGCTTATTGTCCTTGAAGCATAGTTACTATCAGTCTGTCTCACTGAGCTTATCTATTTCACTTGTTTGTTAAAAGATATTTGCATCAAAGGGGCGCCTGGGTGGCTCAGTCGGTTGGGCGTCTGCCTTCGGCTCGGGTCATGATCCCAGGGTCCTGGGATCGAGCCCCGCATCGGGCTCCCTGCTCTGCGGGAAGCCTGCTTCTCCCTCTCCCACTCCCCCTACTTGTGTTCCCTCTCTTGCTGTGTCTCTGTCAGATAAATAAATAAAATCTTTATAAAAAAAAGATATTTGCATCACATGCAGAGATAATTTGATTCTCTCCTTTCCCCATTGCTCCTCAAATTTAAGGTCTTTTAAGGATGGTGCAGTTAAGAAAACTTATCCTCCAAAGATACTGACCAACCAGAAGTCTTCTGCCTTCTCTGGGATGTGGAGTGAGATACCTAGTGCCAGTCATCCAGTTCAGTATCATGCCTCACGTGGTTGGACCCAAAGGAACCGGTTACGAGAGTTGCGTATCAGGTGAGCTTGCAAGTTGTCACCTGCCTGCAGTGGCTTTGCCATTGTTCTCCCTTGCTGAAAATGAGGGGATGATTCCTATTCTTCTGTCTCAGTTAGTTGGAGACTTTGATGCCTACTCTTTGTGGCAGGATGTTCAGAAGAAAATGATATTTAGGAATCTGCACACTTAAAGTCTGTCATTCTGTGTTTTCATTCACATTCCACAATGTGTAAGCTATAAAGAGTCTTCCAGAAAAAGTCCAAACATACTCTGAGAAAAATTGTCATTTTCCACTACTTTTGATTAGGTCTATCAAAGGCATTCATTTATTCATTCAACAAAATTTTTTTTAAAGATTTTATTTATTTGAGAGCAAGAGAGAGAGAAGAGAGAAAGAAAGTGAGAGAGCACAAGCAGGGGGAGCCGTAGAGGGAAAGGGAGAAGTAGGCTCTCTGCTGAGCAGGGAGCCCGATGCCGGGCTCGATCCCAGGTCCCTGGGATCATGACCTGAGCCAAAGGCAGACGCTTAACCAACTGAGCCACCCAGGCACCCTCAACAAAAATTTATCAGGCTTTCTCTTCCTTGGCGCTGCCTGAGGAGGCACCAGATATGTCTAAATTAAGTGCAATTGGAGGAAACCCAGAGACATTGACAGTAGGGTGCACAGAAGATTCAAGGGCCAGATCTTGATGCCCAACATACGTTACGGGAGCAACAAGAATACCAAGCACATGCTGTCCAGTGGCTTCTGGAAGTTCCTAGTCCACAGCGTCAAGGAGTTGAAGCGGTGAGGATGTGCAACAAATCTTACTGTGCAGGGATTGCTCACGGTATCTCCTCTAAGAACCACAAAGCCACTGTGGAAAGAGCAGCCCATCTGACCATCAGAGCCACCAATCCCAATGCCAGGCTGCGCAGTGAAGAAAATGAATAGACAGCTTCTGTACATATTGTATTTGTGTTAATAAAACCATAAAACTACAAAAAAAATTTTTATCAGGTGCCTACTTGGTTAGGTGTTGTGCTAGATGCTGAGCATACAAGGTGAATAAGACATTCCTGGCCTATGACCTCATGAAAGCTTAAAATCATGTTGGCTTAACAGACTGTTAAGTCACACCAGGAAAGCATGATAAATGCTATAAGATGAGAGGATGTGGTGCTGTAGGCCCACATGGCTAGATCAGCCCCACTAGTGTAGCCAGAGGAACTTCCTGGAGGAAGTGGGGTTTAAGATGAGTCCTAAAGGTTAATGTAAGAATAAGCCAGATAAAGGATAGGAGGAAGAAGAGTGTTCCAAGCTGAACCTGGAAACAAACTGGCCAAGACAAACCACCTTTTTTGTGTGTGTACCAGGCACTGTGCTAGGTGCTTGGGATCCTATAAGACATGGTCCCCATTCTCAGGGCCTCACAGTGCAGAGGGAACAACAGGTCCCCTGTGAGCTGATTACTGTGATTTGGTGTCATAACATTATATTTACTAACGGTTGGATCAGAGTGTTGAGGGGACAAGGCTACTCACCGTGTTTGGGTTGGGGAAGGTCCAGGAAGGCTTTACATAGGAGCAAGCATTGAAGATCAGCCTTGACAGGTAAGTGGGCATTTGCTAGGTGTTTTAGGCAGTAAGAATCATACGAATAAAAACATTATCATGTACTTCCTTTTCCTCAACTCTGAAGTCTTCAGTGACAAAAGACTTTATATTGAAAATATTTTTCAAAAATAATCGGCTTGGGGGGTGCCTGGCGGGCTCAGTCGGTAGAGCATAGGACTCTTGATCTCAGGGTTGTGAGTTGGAGCCCTATAATGAGGGTAGAGATTACTTATAAAAATAAAAATAATAAAAACAATCTGCTTGATCTTGGCTTTATAAATCTGTCCCATCCTATGCTCTATTTGATGCAAGATTAGCTGTGATTCACCTTTTGACTCATGCTAGCATCTCTCCCCGGGGGACCTTAGTTTCCCTCTGCTTTCCAGAAAATTGATGAAATAAGTCAAATGGAGTTTTAAAATGTGTATATATCCTTTCTTTCCTTCTTTCAGATGCGTGGCCAGGAAGTTCTTATATTTGTGGATTCGAATGACTTTTGGAAGAGTATTTCCCTCTAAAGCCAGGTAGTATTAGCTCAGAACACCAAACTTCTCTGAGTTCATTCTAGGTTTTTGTTTTGTATTAAGCCCATGTGTAACCTTTGTTATGGTATGTGTTACATTCTTCCCCTCCCCACCCCCAAGCCTCCAGCAGGCATATGATATAATGGTCATCTAACGTATATTAGTTTGATCAAAAGAAGTAGATAACCTCTTTCAGGGCACTGTCAAGACTGACCACATTGACTTGATCTAGGGCAGAACCTGGGGAAAAAGTTGGCATTGGCAAGGGGAGTGAAATTTTAGTCGAGAGAATGTGTATAGGCCACTGCCCCCTACTGCAGGTTTTGGTTAAAATTGCTTCAGCGGCAGCATAAAAGAGCGAAGAGCTGATGCAATGGGGAGCCACCAGGGTCAAGGACACAGGCAGGAGCTGGTGGGTTTGGAGAGAAGCGGCCAGTGTAGGGTAGATTTCAGAGGAAGAATTGGCAGCCACTGACATGTAGGCATTTTTTTAAAAAGGGAAATGTTGTGGGTTCTTAAGCCCTCAACTCTTCCCTTACTACAAACTTTCTTGTTTCATTTTTCTAACATTGTGGCTTTCCTAATCTGGAACATCATCCAGATCTTTTCATTCAAAGTCTTTTAAGCAAATTTGGCCTGTGGATGTTCCCTGAAATCTGTGCGCATACCCTGTGGGGGTCTGTGCTGTTCCCATCTTGGTGCGGCTTTGCCAGTGAAGCTTCCAGGGTGGCAGCAGTCTATCCAGCTGCACATGTTAGACAGAGTTCACCTCTGCTTCTCCTTCTTCTCCTGGACCTTGGCCCTGTCCTTTTTCACTTCCTCGGTAGCTTTTCAGTACCTTCAAATAAAGTTGTTGTTTTTTAATTCAGTTGAGTATTTTATTTATTCCCCCTCCCCAAACTTATATTCTTCTTTTAGTGATTGCCCTAAAGAATATAATACGTATCTTTAGTTTATCAGAGTCTAATGTTAATTGGCCCTTTTGCCCTCTTCCCAAACAAGGCAAGGTCCTTAGAACACTTTTAACTCTGTCTGTCCCCCTCCCCACTTATATGCCCTTATTGTAAGGTATTTTAATTTGGTTTATATTTTAAAATCTGCAAAACATTTATTTTTTCTTGTTTTATACAGCTAATATTCATTTAGATTTAGTCACATATTTACCCTTCCTGTTCTTTTCTTCCCCCCTATGTCTCCAGGTTTCCATCTGTGATTATTTTCCTTCTGTCATTGGAATATCCTCATCATTTGCTTTAGAATAGATCTGCTTGTGATGAATTCTCTCAGATTTTGTCAAAAAAATGTTTTTATTTCACTTTCGTTTTTGAAGGATATTTCACTGCTTAGAGAAATCTGAGTTGCCAGTTTTTTCCCCAGCATTTTGAAGATATTTCATTGTCTTAAGACTTCCATTTGTAAGTCGTTAGTCTATTTATTGCTGTTTTGAAGATTCATTATCTTATTTTTCAGAGTTTTAATATGATATGGCTGGGTGTGGATTTCTTTTCTTTTTTAAAAAGATTTTATTTATTTGTCAGAGCGCACTAGAGAGAGCACAAGCAGGGGGGAGTGGCAGGCAGAGGGAGAAGCAGGCTTCCCACTGAGCAAGGAGCCCAATGCGGGACTCGATCCCAGGACCCTGGGATCATGACCCCAGCCGAAGACAGACTCTTAACTGACTGAGCCACCCCGGCGTCCCTGGATTTATTTTCTTAAAGTCTTTTAGCTCATTCTGAGATAATAGGTGACAGGGTTTTGTATTTTTGCTTTGTTTTGTGGACACATCTTTCCTTCATACTTTCTTTATCTATAGGCATGTTATTCTCCTTTTCCTTTTCCATTCAATAACTTTGTATAGGATCTGACTTCAAATACTTTGTTGTTAATTTTTTTTTTTTTAAGATTTTATTTATTTATTTGACACAGGGAGTGAGCACAAGCAGGGGGAGTGGCAGGCAGGCAGAGAGGTAGAAGCAGACTCCTCACTGAGCTGGGAGCCCGATGTGGGACTTCATCCCAGGACCCTGAGATCATAACCTGAGCTGAAGGCAGATGCTTAACGACTGAGCCACCCAGGCATCCCTTATTGCTCATTTTTATGTGGAATTGATCTTTCTGAACTTTTTAGAGTGAGGCAAGATCAGTTAACTTTCCTATTTCACAGAGCTCCCACTGCTGTCTCATTTGTAGTATTAAAAAATATGGCAGCTTGCTCTATGGGATATCTTGGATCTATTCCCCTAAAACACTTGGTCTGATTCTCTCTTTCCTTGTCTCTCTTGTCCATCTCTTGCTCAATTTCTATTCTACTTCCAGCAGTTTTTCTTCATTTTGAAGCTCTGGCCTAAAAGGGAGCCTGGCATGTTGGTTCTGAGACTAGGGGCAGGACTGCTCCAACTGTTTCAATTCTGTCTACATTAGCCCTGGTAGTGGAAAGGAGAAAACTCTCAGATTCAGCTGCTAGTCTCACATGGGGCCTCTGCACTTTGCAGTGACTACTTATTGGCTGTTTTGGGGTTTTCCCATTCTCAGGTTCCTTAGATGCCACCCTCATTGCTCCTTCTTCCTCCTGTAGAAATGTTAATACCATGCAGGTCTTTTGACTATGGATGGTTTGTCTTCACCTGCTTGCATTTTGGTTTTATGCGGATACCTTGTCCCATGGTTTTGTTGTAATTGATACATGAATTTTTGGTTTTGCTACATGGTTGCTCTGTGTGTTTTATGGGGATTCAGGGACTGGAAAACTATGTTGTCCGCTCCACTATCTTCCCCAAGTTCTTTTCCTACTTAATTTTATTTAACTTAATATTTGACCCATATTTAACTAGAAATGTCTGTTTAAGTAATACCCATTTATAGTCACAGTATTTGGGAAATGCTGATTATATTAGAAATGCATTTGACTCTAAGTAAGAGAAAGTCTGACAGTGGCTTTAACAAATTGGGATTTGCTTTTTTTCATAAGCAGTTTGGAGGTTGGTCTTGGTTTAGCTGCTCAGGGAGGCCATCAAAGACTCAGGCTTTCAGTACCTTTCGAGTTCACCATTTTTAACATATGGCCCTTTGTCCTCAGAGATGACACTGCATAGTTGCAAAATGACTGTCTGTTTTACACAGGAAGGAGTAGGGAAGGGTGGTGTCAGATCTGTCTTTTACTCAGGAAAACAAAACTTTCCTGGAAACCCTCAGCTGCATTCTGCTCTGCCTCATTGTCCAGAGCTGTGTCACTGGCTGCCTTTTGCCACATTACATGAAAAAAAGACCAAAACAAACAAAAAAGCAAACATGTCCAATCCAAGCTTTCTCTCCCAGCTTCCTCTGCAGCAGATGCCTGTGAGGAGGCAGGAGCCTGACAGTGGGTGTTGGGTTAGCCGGTGACCGATGTCTGCCATACTGCTTTAAAATCATCCCCTTATAATCTTTACTTTCTTTGCTCTTGACTGGTAGCAGGGTCTGAAGGAAAGATACTGGACTGGAATTTGGGAGACCTGAGTTTTGGTCCTAGCCCAGACCCTAGCTAATTGTTTGATCTGGGGATAAGTTACAGCTCTGGGCCTGAGTTTCTCAAATTGTAAAATGAGAGAGTAAGAATACTGCTTGTTCTCTAAGCATCTACCAGAATTAGAATTCTGATACTGTGTTGACTTAGAAATTTAGGATTTTTTTTTTTTCGCCCCAAGTTGTAATCTCTCTTTTTTTAAAAAGATTTTATTTATTTATTTGACAGAGAGAGACACAGCGAGAGAGGGAACACAGCAGGGGGAGTGGGAGAGGGAGAAGCAGTCTTCCCGCCAAGCAGGAGCCCGATGCGGGGCTCGATCCCAGGACCCTGGGATCATGACCTGAGCTGAAGGCAGATGCTTAACGACTGAGCCACCCAGGCGCCCCTGTAATCTCTTTTTATTTTTTTTTATTTATTTTTTTTAAGATTTTATTTATTTATTTGAGACAGAGAGAATGAGAGACAGAGAGCATGAGAGGGAGGAGGGTCAGAGGGAGAAGCAGACTCCCTGCCGAACAGGGAGTCCGATGCGGGACTCGATCCCGGGACTCCAGGACCACGACCTGAGCCGAAGGCAGTCGCCCAACCAACTGAGCCACCCAGGCGCCCTGTAATCTCTTTTTAAATCAAGTGGGTTGTTTGTTACTTTGGGGAAGATTGGACATGTTTGCTTTTTTGTTTGTTTTGGTCTTTTTTTCATGTAATTTATTCCTCAGGTTTAGGAATATTAGAGGAGAATTAATTCATACCAGAAAATGCAGAATAGGGCGCCTGGGTGGCTCAGTTGGTTAAGCGACTGCCTTCGGCTCAGATCATGATCCCGGAGTCCCGGGATCGAGTCCCACATTGGGCTCCCTGCTCGGCGGGGAGTCTGCTTCTCCCTCTAACCCTACCCCCTCTTGTGCTCTCTCTCTCACTCTCTCTCTCTCTCAAATAAATAAATAAAAAAAATCTTAAAAAAAAAGAAAATGCAGAATAATGCCTTTATGTTCTTGGAGATTGTTTTAACTTTTATAAAATGGCATTGTTTTATCATTAGTAAACTGAGCCAAAATGACCATCGAATTAGTAGGGCAAAAATAATGCAGTATATGTCCAATATAAGGTAGTCTTAAATATGAGGTAGTCACCTATTTTCCTGAAGAGAAGATCTGAACAAAGTTTTTTTGGTTAACTTGAGAGGTAGGTAAAGCAGTCAGGTCCTTCTACAGTATTTAATTCATCAAGATTTCTTCCTCATTCTTATCTAATGGCCTTGCTTCCTATTTTTTTTTTTAATTTTATTTTATTTATTTGACAGAGAGAGACAGCTAGAGAGGGAACACAAGCAGGGTGAGTGGGAGAGGGAGAAGCAGGCTCCCGGCCGAGCAGAGAGCCCGATGCGGAGCTCGATCCCAGGACCCTGGGATCATGACCTGAGCTAAAGGCAGACGCTTAACGACTGAGCCACCCAGGTGCCCCCTTCCTATTTTCTTAATAGAAACAACAGAAGAGGGGCATCTGGGTGGCTCAGTTGGTTAAGCATCTGCCTTCTACTCAGGTCATGATCTCAGGGTCCTGGGATGGAGCCCCACATCAGGCTCCCTGTTCAGCGGGGAGTCTGCTTCTCCCTCTCCCTCTGCCCCTGCTCGTGTGCTTTCTCTCTCACTTACTCTGTCTCTCAAATAAATAAAATCTTAAAAAAAGAAAGAAACAGAGGAAACCCGCACAAGCTCCCTCCCTCACATCCACACACCGCCAACATCTGTCACTGTGCAAGCTGCTTTCTCTACCATTAGGCAGGTGAACTGTCCTTGCTCTCATCTGTGGCAAAATCCTTGGCTTTTGCACTGTTTCCTTTGTGCCTACTCAAGGACATTATTCTAGCAGTTTTTTTCTCTTTTCTGCATCAGTTTTTTGCCATTTACTGGATCATTTGCACCAGCATATACCCTTATTTCTCTCAATCTGAAAAAAAAAATCTGACCATACGTCCTCCTGCAGCTAGCACTCCATCTCTTTGCTCCCCTTTACATCAACTCCCCTGGCCATACTCTATCTCCAACACGTATTGTAGTCTTTCTTAAATCCATCCCACTAGTCTTTAGATTCTACCCCTCCACCAAAATTGTTTTCGTTGAGGTCACTACATCATAATTTTTTGAGGTTAATGTAGCAATTTGTTTTTAAGATTTTTGCTTATATTGTCTGTTTCTCCTGAGCCCCCTTTTTCTCTGTGCTTTTGGTGACTGTCTCATATGGGAACCTTTCCCTGAATGTGAAAAGATCTTTTTATTGTCTGTTCATATTTAAGAGTTAGGCACTAAAATGCTAATTTTGGAAGCTTTTCTATGTATGCACAGGGACTTGTAAATTGAAAACTTTACTTTGTTTTTGAGGCAGAGACCAGACAGTTTCACTGGGGAACCTCCAGCTGTCAGTATCTAAAAGCCTTTTCCCAGGGGGCACCTGGGTGGCTCAGTAGGTTAAGCGTCTGCTTGGGCTCAGTCACAATCCCAGAGTGCTGGGATCAAGCCCCACATCAGGCTCCCTGCTCAGCGGGGAGTCTGCTTCTCTCTATCCCTCTGCCACTCCCCCTGCTTGTGCACTCTCTCTCATATAAATAAAATCTTTAAAAAATAATAATAAAAGCCTTTCCCTTAGGTTGATCAGTTTTCCCCAGAGGAGAACAATCCTCCAAACTCCTTCTAGGGTTGAGCGGCTTGGAGGTGGATGGCGGTGGTTATAAGCTTGGCTGTAGGCAGAGGAGAGGGAATGTGGGGGGGTCTCACTGTTGAGTATGTGGACTCTGTTGAAGACCCTCTCCAGAACTCTGCCTGGTATCCTGCAGTCCAGTGGCCCTCTGTTCAGCCTCTCCAGAGAGAAACCTGAGTCTCTGCTTGGGTGAATAACAGGACCTAGGGGCCTAACTGCTGCTTATGCCCAAGCTTGCCAACAATCCTATGTTTTCATCTCCAGCCGGGGCCCCCCTGTTCCTGATGCCTCATGTTCCCCGCCTTTCTGATGTCTGTGCCACCAGCTGGTTGCTCCTTGATTCCCTCAGCACAGGACCTTTAGTTGTTCCTCTGCTTTCTCTGATCTGTTGGTTCTGTTGCTACTCGCCTGCCTGCTCTCTAGCATCTAAAATTTTTTTTTTTTTTTAAGATTTTATTTATTTGACAGAGCACAAGCAGAGGGAACAGCAAGCAGAGGGAGAGGGAGAAGCAGGCTTCCCGCTGAGC